TGATGTGTTGGGAGAAAGTGGCTACTTGTTGGTTAGTTGAACTTTGAGGCCTAAAACCTGCTTGTTCACTCCTTAGAATATTCTTAGTCTCAAGGAACCAGGTCAGCCTTCTGTTAACCATTCTATCCAAAAAGTTTAGCCAGCATACCTGTTAGGGAGATAGGCCTATGTTGTCAAAGTTGCTAGGGTCTTTGCCCTATTTTAGTACTGGTATTAAGCAACTTTCCATTGGTTAGGTACAAGACTTGTCTCCCAGATTTAGGTCTTTGCCCTTTTTTATTACTGGTATTACTATGGCAACTTCCAATTTTTAGTACTGGTATTACTATGGCAATTTTCCATTGGTTGGGTACGAGACTGGTCTCCTAGATTTTGTTGTAAACGGTTTGGTACAAGACTGGTCTCCCAGATTTTGTTGTAAAGCTGTTTCCTTGGCTTTTGGTCCCATGAATTAGAAATTCTGGATGAATACCGTCTTCGCCAGGAGAAAAGCGTTAGCATGGTTTCCTTGGCTTTTGGTCCCATTCTTAATTATACATTCCGGATGAATACCAGGAGACTCTTTGCACTTGAGTTGTTTTATCGCAGCATGTGAATAGCGTCTTCGCCAGGAGACTTCTTGCACTCGAGCTAAATACCGTCTTCGCCAGGAGACCATTTGCAATTAAGCTTTATTATCGCAACATTAAGTTTGCAAGATCGGAATGGTTCAGTAAGTACATTATTTGGTGTTGCTATGTCTTCCTTAATTTCACCCATCTGTCTTACTGGCATCTTTAAATCTCTTGAAGATTTTCTGACAGAAAGGTTTTCCTTTTGCTTGTAGGAAAAGAACCTCGCACAGCAGTTATCTATTTCGGTGTCGGTGGTAAGCAATTTGCTGTTTAAGCTGTTCTTTCTTGGGTCTTTCCTTGTTGTTTTGGAGGTTAACCTATCGGTGGTAAGCAATTTGCTGTTTAAGCGTATTGGTTCTTTGTCTTTCTCTGTTGTTTTGGAGGTTACCCAGGAATTTGAATATTGTTTTGGAGGTTCCTCAGAAATTTAAAAGTGCGTTGGCTCTCATTTTGATAGTTGATATTTGAGATGAACTTGTCGAAGGAAGTGCGTTAAACTTGTAAGATGGCTTGCCTTAGGACAGCTGATTGTCATCACCAGGCTTGTGCGTCTTCCGTTCTTCCAGTCTGATCAGCAGTATTGCGAAGGGTGGCCCTCCTACATATCAGTTCCTCAAGGTGTTTAGACCAAAACACTTGATAGTGTTTAGTCTTGCCTCGGGGAATAGTTTTCTTTGCACATCTGATCATAATATTCGTGATATCAGTGAAAAGTATATCAAGATGTTGGTTGAAGTTGAGGGGACTTGTGTGAAGTTCATTCTCCAAAAGGTTTGTGAATCTAGACCAGTCAGCCTTCTTGAAGTTCCATGATAGCTTAGTTGGCACTTTCCATGTTATGCTTTTGCTGCCGATGTTGATACTAGCAATGATTTGTTTGTGACCAGAACCAGGATCGTCAATTATTTTGCAGCGTGTATGCTCACTGATGTCACTTGAAGCCAAGAGTAAGTCAGGAGTTGTTTTGGTTCCATTGTAGTGCAAATATGTAGCCGGATCCTCATTGCTGTAAAAAGTTCCAGAATGTTGCTGTTTAGCATGTCTTCAATTTCCTTTCCAGCCATGTTTTTATCCTTGTAGCCCCATCTAGTGGAGTGGGCGTTGAAGTCTCTTAATACTATATTTTTGTGTGAGATGTTCAGAAAGTTAAAGTTTGGACAATTCTGGAGTGGATTGTAGACTGCATATATCTTGAAGTGGTTTTGACATTTCCAAACATTTAATCTGATTATTTCACATTTGTCTTGTGTTTTGGATTATAGACTGCATATACCTTGAAGTGGTTTTGACAATGGATTATAGACTGTATATATCTTGAAGTGGTTTTGACATTGGTTATAGACTGCATATATCTTGAAGTGGTTTTGACATTTCCCAGACTGCATATACCTTGAAGTGGTTTTGACATTTCCAAACGTTGCATATATCTTGAAGTGGTTTTGACATTTCTAAATATTTAATCTGATTATTTCGCAGATGTGTTGTGTCGAGCCCATACTCTTGATTAGATCGCTATGTGATGTGAGGCCTTCTTTTACTCCAGTCAGAATTCCATTAGTGTGAGGTGAGTCCTTCTTTTACTCCAGTTAGAATTCCACTTGAAACATGCCGGTATTTAGGTAGATTGTACAGGGTAGTACTTCAGTTTGTAATCCGAAATCTTAGCTTCCATAATTGTGAAAATGTCTACATCATAGGTTTGTAGGATTTTCTGTTTTTGGATCTTTTTGTCCGGAGACATTCCTGATTCCATAATTGTGAAAATGTCTACATCATAGGTTTGTAGCCTTTTCTGTAACTGCTGTACTTGGACCTTTTTGTCCTGTGACATCCCTCCAGCATTCCACTGGAGGATCTAGATGTGATTGGCCCTGACGAGGGCGATTTTTCTTAGAGCCTTTTTTAAAGGTTCAAAGCTAATCATAATTAATCGAAGTCAAAAACGTATGGGCTAATCATAATAAATCGAAGTCAAAAACGAATGCCGAGTATTTTGCCGTACAAAGATACGTTGTCCAGGGTGCACCACGTGTTTGCCGTACGAAGATACATTGTCCAGGGTGCACCACGTGGAGGTAAATCTATCCCGCATCCCACATTTCTGGAAGAGAAAATGCGTGTTTTTCATTCTTACGCCTCAGAGCCCATTGCACACGACTCGCATGCACAAAAAAATGACACCCCTTACCTTGATGATTTTCTTCAGTATCACAACCAGACTCACTAGCAGTGGCTCGCACTTGGTATACTCATTGAGTAAAGCGGTATTTCATAGTGCCTTGGAAGAATGGAAATAGGTGAGGTGAGTTAAGGTGAATTAAGGCAAGGAGAGATGAGGCTACTGAGTACACAAATGACACTTGTCACTCCAAATTACATTATTCAGCTCACCAAATGATTGGGAAAGCTCAAGTCGACTGCGAATCGGTGCTTATTGGATTTGAACTTCACGATTCTCACCCTCCCATAAGGAACCACTTTAATGTCATTAATATTCGAATTCTTTTTATTGTTTATCATCTTTGAGGAGATTTCCATGTGCACCTTCAGAGGGAATATAGCAAATGAGCGAGTGAGTGGGTGGATGGTGGGTTTACGCGTGCTGAGGAGAAGAATTGGTGGAGTGAACTTGCCTTAATTTGATCATCTTTTCCTTCACTCCTCCAAGTGTCTGCCTCTCGGCTACCTTCGGCAAACGCCATTGTGAGATCCAGATCACTGGATTCTGTTGCGAAGCCACTCACCGAGGAGCCAATCAACTCCAATTTGGATCCCGGATACTCCTCTTGGAGGAATCGCCTTAAATCGGTGATATACGCCTTCTATAATGGAAGACGTGAAGAGGAGATAAGAAGTGCGAGACAACGCTGATTCGGCTACATTTCAGGTATTCACTTAGGTGCTGGGGAATTTACGGCGGTGACAACTGCTCTGGCCTTACACTTAGAACTTCGCTGCACCCTCTCATGACTCACTAATTGGCTGGCATGGTGCCTGCCTGCCATTTGTGATTGAAATCTATGCGTGGCCTTATCTAAGAGTTCTACCATGTGTTCTCCAGTAGCAGTGAAAGCACCACCAACGGGAACAAATAGGTATTATAAGAACCAAATCGATTACAGTTTCAGTTACAACTTGTGTGTGAATATGAAATCATTTAGAGCGTGGTGATACAAATGAGCCACTCAACTTACCCTTATTGCGATGGTTCTGTCAGAAGGCTGAATGCTTCTGACAAAGTCCTCGAACACATCAGCCAACTCGTAGAGATGCAGGCTACTGTGCAATTGTGGAAGACTCCTCTTCATATCTTGAATATATGCGAGCGACATGATTGGCCACTCCGCAAGAAGGTTGTCGCCAAGGTCTTCTTCCACGGCCTCACTCTAAAGAGGAAATCATCATTAGAAATTGTTGCTCCTGTCATTAGTACATGTTGGAAAGTGAAATGGAGCTAGTGAACAACAAGTTTACCCTTCACTACTTCTCCCATTTCTCCTCACATGGATCAATTGAGAATTCTCAATACTGCTGGACGGCGAGCGCCTCATTAGTAATGGCAGTCATTAGCAATTTCTAGACACATTTTGGTACACGAGTTGCAATCTCAATGCTGACCCTCTCACAGGAAGGGATCATCTTTGGCAACGTATTCGCAACATTTTCATGAGGAATAATAAATAATGTATGTGGACGCCAAATGCTATCACAAAGTGAATTAAAGGACCTCTTCATGTTGCTGATTTCTTGGCATCTCACTTTCCATCTTCCCACCTTTCGCATCAATTGGCCCAACATCCACATATGCATGCACTATCTACCAATAAACACTTTAACCTGTATTGCAAATGAAATGCAAAGAGACTTGTTAATTACCTTTGTGCTCTTATCTCTCTTGTTCGGTGCCATCTGGGGTCTTCAATTGTTAGCTGCAAAAGCGTATATCACAGATCATCAACAAGTTAAGATAAGTTGAAGTGAAGGAGAAGGAAAGGACAGACATTTGTGACATATTGAAACAAGAGCAACACATTTTCAGATGAAATCAAATTGAGTTTGTGATCGCGAGCAGAAGAGTGCGCATAAGAGAGAAACCAGCAATTTTGAAATTTCCCACTTCCGTCAATTTAAACAATTTTTGCTTTTGAACTCGAAATTCGTATGCAAGATTTGTAACTGTTCTATTGTTAATGAGCTGAAAATAGAAAATATTTATTTTTTGATTTTTGAAATATTTTTATTAAAACAGTTATTATTTTGTGCCCTTTTGCCTCTGTCCACGAGACAATCAGTCGGCACCAAAATACTTCAGCTGATGTTACTCCCAATCTTACAATTGTTGCCTCACCTCAAGTTGTCGTGTAGGGGAAATGAACTTGAAGAGCCCTTTAATCACCAACTAGTTTCAAATTCAAGCGTCATACATTCACTTCCCCAGTGGTCATTCCTGAAATTTGGAGTATGAACTATTTGAGTCTATTAGAAATCTCACTGGATTCACAGGAACACGTCTGCATTGGGAAGAAACCAATTTGAGGAGGAATAATTACAATGATAAAGGCAAATAAGGGGAATATTTAGTTATGACAACTGCTTAAATGATGTTTTGTTGTAATAAACGAATGCTCAAACGAATAGCTGTTATT